CTGGAGGCTCAGTGGCACGTCCTCACTTGTTGGCCAGTGCCAACCCCCAACCCACAGTGCTGCTGGGAGAGGTGAGTGAGACACAGGTCGGGGGTGGAGGCTGGTCAGGAGTTGGTCGATGACACGCAGCCAGTGCAGCTCATTTCCTGTTGCTGCTGCCATCACGGTGGTCACGATGCCCCCTTCTGGAAGGCGTCCTGCCATCTTTGCCGCTGTGACTAGAATTCTTCTCTTCTAGGCATCTGCTTTTTTCCACAAGTGTCTTTCTATCCTGTGAGAATGAAATTCAAAATAACATCCCACAGCCCACTCCTCCCAAAATTCTCCACAACTCGAACTTGCACTGAGGTCTCCATTGGGAGCAAATGAATTTCTACTGACTGTACACCAAATTAAGTGTCCTGGGCTTAAAAATGAAACACCAGGATTCTTTGTTCAAAAATCAGGAGCAAACATTACTGAAGATTTTAAAATATAAAACATTTCCTTTAAAAATATTTTACTTACAAAATGTAATAGGAATACTAGTCATGAATGATATCTATAAGATTACAAATTGCATTTGTGTCAATTTCATGTAATTAATAGGAATACTGAATGCAGTATCTTAATCCATCATAAAGTTTTTCTGACTTTTCCTCTGCATATTCATTTGTTAGGTCATGCAACCTTGCTTTCAGTTGATATAATTGCAAACAGCTTTAGTCACTCCTGGCAAATGCAAGATGGCAACTAATTTTCAGTGCGTTATTTTGAGAAAGATCTTTCTATTGATACAGCAGCCACTGGAGCTTTAATAGGTTGTGGCAACACTGAGATAAATTTCAGAAATCTCTGTCCTCTCAGGCTCCTCCTCCCAGCTCAGCTCCACCCTTCCTAGGGTGGGGCAGGATGCCTGGGACCTCCCCTTCCCCTGGGGGTTACTCTGCTACTACACCTGGTTATTTCCAGCATCGAAATACCGTGGAGCCCACACTTGAAGACAGGAACTCTGGGCTGTAATCCCAGCCTTGTCGCTAAGAAGCCTAAGAAGCATTCTCTTCCCAAAGCAGGGTGATGAATCACTGTTCACTCTCCACGCTGGCTAAGCAGTCTGTGTATCTTACCTGGTGGCTAGCGCATGAAGATGTGAAGTGTTTGGCTATATACTTAATTTTTTTTTTTAAGTTAAAATTTGAAACTTAAAAAATCTCAATCTTACTGTGGAATACTATTAGAAATATAGTTACAATGCCGCATGGCCTGAGTTACTCCAGTTTATGCTTGATCTCAGACGCCGGTTGCTTCAGTAGAGTGAAGCTGCCTAGAGCTGTGCTAGCTGTCGCAGTTTCCCACAGATTCGGCAGGTGGCGCTCTTTGCTGTGTCAAAGCAGACTGGTTACCGCCTATGCGCTGGAGATGATGACGCGCGCTCCCGCGTATGGTGAAGTGTTTATTACCATCTGACTAGGAAGCACTGTGTTAGCAAAATGAGTGGGTGAATGTGGTCATTTTACTTTTTTTTTTAAAAAGGGAAATAGGTGATACCATACTAAGAAGAAAGGATTGATGTAGTGGAAGCGCCGCCATTCCCTGTGTAAAATAGAAATAAATTAGTGCAGGAAAACAGTTTTATAGTACAGGTACCTTGGAAAAGAAGATTAGCCTTATATGACTGAGTAAAATTTTAAGCGCCCTGCATTTTTTCTGAGGAGCAGATGATTAAGATGTGGGTTTCTCAGAGAAAACAGTCAGTGGTTTATCTAAAGCCCAGCACCTGCCGCTCCGCCCAGCCCGCGCGGCTGCCAGTGGGAGCTGATGACTTATCAGCCGCATCTACATCTCGGGATCTTGCTTGACGCTGAGAGAAACAGTATCGTAGCCCTTTGAGGTTTGAACAAGATGTCTATCTCCTTTCCTTTAAAAATAAAACAGCTTCTCTGACTACAGAGCTTTTGATGTATATATGTTTTTTAAAATGTGAGTATGTTTGAAATCATAGGCGCATTAGAGACCCTGAGTAGGGCACTAAATTCGCTTAAGACCAAGAGTAGGAGGCTAATTGCCTTGGGTTCTGCCAAGTGTAAGTCATTGCTGTGTTGTAATTTGTAGTAAAAAAAAAAAAAATGGAGGAAGCAGTATCCTCCCATATTTAGCAGAAAGAATGAGGCAAATGGGAAGGCAGAGAGAAAGTGTACTGCATACCTACTGTGTGTCAGTCCGTGGGCTCATGAGCATTATGGTGTTTGCTTTGGCATCTTTTTTTTTTTTTAAGATTTATTTATGCATACAGAACTGGGATGCAGGCCAGAGGTGCAGGAGCAGTGAGGGGCTTCACCAGAGACAGAGTGGAGCAGATCAGGCCAACTGACAAAGTACACTGCTGAGGAGCAGCGGTGAGACAGGAGAGGTCTGCCGTGCCATGTGGGTCACCTCCGGGGCAGGGCTCGAACTTGCTGAAGTGGCTGCAGCTAGCTTCATGGTGCTGCACTTTAACCTGCTATACCACCAGGGAGGCCCCTGTTTTAGTGTCTTAGGAAAAGAAGTAATTCTTTTTATTTTCCCTCTCACTTACAGTAGCCGTGAGGCAGTTATGCTGATTTTTCAGAATGACAGCTGAGGCTGGCCTATATTTACAGTCAGAATTTATCTGCTTTATGGTTCTTTTATGATTGAAGCAGTCTCAATAGAATCTTAAGTATTTTTTTTAAAGAATTTGACTCTAAGAGTGCTTCTGCTTTATCCATCTTTATCCATCTCCTGCATTCCTCTGAGCATTTACAGAAGTTCTGTCAGCTAATGGTTGTAATGGCCCAGGGCAAGTTAGCCTCAGTGTACCAGTAAATACTTAAACGCAGGCTTGCATTAAATGGAAGACCATTTGGATCATTTCTCTTCTGACTTTCTTATCGCTTTGTATCTTCAAACCAGTCAAAGGGGCTGTGCTTGGAGCAGCAGATGTTTCATAACCCTTCCTAGCCAGCCATCTCAAGTAAAATAATACAAGGGAAAAGGACAAAGGCGAGCCTAATGGGGGGCATGTGGAGTAACTTTTAGTCTTCAAGTACACTTCCAGTTAGGACACTACGGTATCCTCATCTTTCACGACAGCTTTATAAAACAGTATTTTCATCTTTCACGACAGCTTTATAAAAAAGAATGGATTCGAGTACATAATCTCCCAGTGTTTCTCAGTGTTCTGGGTTGGCTTTCTGAGAATCATCCATGGGCATTACAGTTTATTTTCAGTGGATTCATAAAGGCATGGCAACTTTTTTTTTTAAAAGATTTGTTTATTTATACATACATACAGATCTGGGGTGCAGGCCAGAGGTGTAGGGGCAGAGAGAGGATTCACCAGGCAGAATCCTCTCCCTGGGGGAGCAGGACAGGCAGATTGATGAAGTACACTGCTGAGGGGAGCAGTGGGCCGGCCAGGAGAGGTCTGCCGTGCCATGTAGGTCACCTCTGGAGCTGGGGATTGAACTCTCACTGAAGTGGCTGCTATGCTTGCAGTGCTGTGTCCTAACCCATTGCGCCACCAGGGAGGGTCCAGGCATGACAACTTCTCAAACTTCTTTTTCCTCTAGGTCAATTGATGAGACGTTCAGCTTGGCTGAAGAAACCTGTAGTTCCAACCCAGCCATAGTTCGGAGGAAGAAAATTGCCATAAGCATCATCTTTTCCTTGTGTGAAAAAGAAGAAGCACAAAGAAATTTCCAAGACTTCTTTTTTTCTCATTTCCCCCTATTTGAATCTCACATGAACAGGCTGAAGAGTGCAATTGAAAAGGTAAGAAGAGTATTTCAGCGTCAGATAGAGAAGCAATTATGGGGCTTTAGAAATGGTATTGTCTTTTTGTTTATGTATCAGATCACTTGAGAAGGTGTCATTTGCAGCGGTGGTGGATCCTAGACACATTGATGATAGATGCCAGATCCTGCTTAGGAAAGGGAATTATTGCTTTCTGATGGTTTAAGTTGTCATTGCCTTAAGGGTTTTTACTATAATGCTGTCTTAACAATAAAGCCCAGTGGGTAGTATAATGGAGTTTTTCTCAGAGAGTATAATCTGGCTTGTTTTCTCTTCCATAAAGGCCATGATCTCCTGTAGGAAGATAGCCGATTCAAGTCTCCGTGTCCAGTTTTACGTCAGCCGTCTGATGGAAGCTCTAGGAGAATTCAGGTAAACTGATAAAGCTTGACAAATCCGATAGGGAAAATTTATGAGTTGCAGGAGCAGCCATAGATCTAGAAATAGAGACCATAGCTTGGAGCAGTCGGCAGACTTTCAGTTATTAGTCGTATCAGCAGTTCCTTCCTTCAAGATGGAAACTGAGTCCAGTGGAGCAAAAAATCCCATTCCCCAGTCACCTCACTACTACCGACAGTCTTTGGTGTGATTGTTTTGGCAGGGTGAATGGGAAAGTAATATGAGCTTGTTCGTTGTGTCATGTCATCTCATGAAAGCCTTGAGTAAGCGCTGGTGGCCCCACTTGACAGAAGTGCAAATAGCAGAGATGCTTATCCAAGCCACGGAAGGAGAGGATGTGTCTTTTGGGGAGATGAACACTTCAGTTTGCCAGGAACCTCCCACTGTATCCCGAGTACCCTCTCAGAAGTGCCCTGGCCTGAACATTAAGCTCTGTGATCATGCTAGCCGGCCTCATGTCATCCTAACAAGTGACCTTTTTAGTCAGGAGGCGGGTGCTTTCGAGTCCTTGCCTCTAGTATCTAGGTGAAAGTGTACTGTGCTTTGGGTAGTGGATGGATCCTCTGTGCTGAGCTGATTGTTGTACCTCTTTTAAGTGCCAGTTTCACCATGGGGGATGGGATCCCCCTCTAACGCAGTGATAAGCAAATGAGCTAAACTTTTGCACAACAGCAGCAGGATAAAAAGTTTTTATAATTCTTAGGATGTTACATTTTTCTGCTACACAAGGTCTACTATGCTTTGGATAGCTATTAATGCTGCTTGGGCAAAATCGCCCGGTTTTTTGAATCCTGGATTAGGTGTAAAGGACTCGAGCAACACATGAGTCATTTTCTGATGAAGAGGACCTGCGTCAGGTATCTGCAAAGTGGTGTGAAGTGGTGCTGTTGGATGCCAATCCAAGGAGGAGTGAATCTTCTGTAGCGTGGGCCATGCGGGATGTGCCCGCTGCTGCACGAGGGAGGCCTGGAAGGGGGGACTGCACACAGCAGAGAGCCTCGCTGTGGGCGTCCTAGGCCTTGTTTCTCCTTCCTCACCTCCTTCTCCGGAAACCGTGACAAGTATCCGCCTTTGGAGACCTGAGCTTTAGCAAGCGAACCCCCTTTCTCTGTGACCACAGCCGCCCCTTGCCCCCAGGCCCGCTGTCCTTTTTGCCCGAGTGCAGTTCTGTTGCGTCTCAGGGCTTTTATGAGCACAGCTGGAAATTGAGTGAGAATACATCTCATCCCTCTTGATTTAGGAAGCAAGGATGTGTCTTAAATTCAGAGCCCCTGGTGGAGATCCAAAGCTGAGTTCACGTGCCCTTTTTGGCCCTTCGCACCAGTTAGTGGGGAGACCTGCATTCGCCTCCTGACCTTGTCATTAAATATTTGTGTCTTGCAGAAATAACTTAATGTGGCTGGACCTGTTTCTTAATCTGAGATAGAACTAGACTAAATAGTTTCTCCGATAGCTTACAGTTCTGAGAATTTGATGCTGCTTGTTCATATAAAAACCTGGAATGTGGTTCGGGGAAGAGCCACTTATGCGCAGCTGACTCTTGAATAACACAGCAGACCCACCGTACACAGATTCTCCTGCGAAGAGACGACATCTACTTGCGGTGTTGGTCCATACAGTTCAGTACTGTCAATGTAGTTTGTTTTCCTGTGGCCTTGCCTTTCCTCTGGCTTACTTTATTGTATGGATGCAGTGTAGTATACATATTACACAATGTAATGTGTTACCTGACTCTTTTGATCAGATACAGGCAATTATTTAAGTTTTGGGGGAGTCAAGCTTTGTGGAATTTTCCAACTGTGTGACTGTTTGGTGCCCCTAAGACAGCCCTACCCCATCCCTCGCATTGTTCAAGGGTCAGTTGTAGTTGTTATCATCTGAAATGAAAAGAGTGATCTGGCTTGAAGAACTAAATCACCAACCAAGACTGGGAGCGTTGCGTGAGCTCTGGCCCCACCTTCAGTATAGCTTACTCCTTTTCTTCTTTATTTCTTTACTATTAATGGGCATAGGCCTGACACAAGGCATTGCAAAAATGAATTGTTTAAAAAATGAGTATTTCTTTTTTTTTTTAAAGATTTATTTATTTATTCATATAGAACTGGGGTACAGGCCAGAGATGCGGAGGGTGAGTGGATTTACCAGAGACAGAGTGGGGAACAGAACAGGCAGATTGACGAAGTACACTGCTGAGGGGAGCAGCAGGCGGGCCAGGAGAGGTCTGCCACGCCATGTGGTCACCTCCGGGGCAGGCGGGGATCGAACTCATGTGGAAGCGCCTCTAGATTCTCAGTGCTGTGCTTTAACCCGCTGCGCCACCAGGGAGGGCCAAAAATGAGTATTTCATGTCAAGCGTTGGCATGCCTTTTATGTAAAGGTCTCTGTCATAGCTGTTCAACTCTGTTGCTGTGCAGAACAGTGACAGACGATATGCAAATGAATGAGGCTGGCTGTTCCCACTAAAACTTTCCCTAAATAAGTGGTGGCAGTCAAACGTGGCCCTTGGGTTATAGTTCATACCCGTTTATTTCCTGCATGAATCCCTCGAAGACTACATAGATCATGATTATTGTTTTCTTCTTTATTCTTCTATACAGAGATTCACCATAATGATATTTGTGACCGTTTTGTGTGTCTCTCTTTCTCTTTCTCTTCTATAGAGGGACGATCTGGAACTTATATTCTGTTCCAAGGATAACCGAACCAATATGGCTTACCATGATGTCCAGCACTTTGGAAAAAACCCAGCTGTGCCAGCGCTTTCTCAAGGAGTTTACACTCCTGATAGAGCAGATCAATAAAAACCAGTAAGCGTCAGCTCTGTGTAGCCTGTATGGAAGCGCACGTGTGTGCATGTCAGACAGGCTCTCCCTGCACTGACTCACCTGGTTGTGTTTTCTCATTTCTCCAAGGTTTTTTGCTGCCTTATTGACTGCAGTGTTAACCTACCACCTGGCTTGGGTACCGACTGTGATGCCTGTTGACCACCCTCCCATTAAAGCCTTCTCAGAGAAACGCACCTCCCAGTCCGTGAACACCCTGGCCAAAACGCACCCTTACAATCCTCTCTGGGCGCAGCTGGGTTGGTATCCAGTATGGCTGTTCAGAGACTATGTGTAATGGAATGGGGAAAATAATAGGCTTTTGAGTCAAGTAACACTAATTTCACCGTCTTTTAAATTTTTGCCAAAGTCAGATACCTGGTCTTTCTGTACACTGCTTTCTTGTAATTAGTTGGTGGCATTTAATTCCTTAAGCTTTGTGCTCAGGATTGGTATAGGAGGCAAATGCTTCAGCGTAGTTGCGTCTCTCTCAGAGCAAGGAAGGCTTACTTCAGATGTTAAAATAGTACTTTCTGTAAAAAGAAGAATAGATTCTGAGTTTGAGTCCACAGTTGCATGTTTGGGGCCCGGTGAGGGAGGTGGTCCCTGGGACCTCTCACTCATCGGTAGTTGGAGTGTTTAGTGCAAACACTGTCCCAAGTCTGGTGCCACGTGCTAGGGACACCGCGTAGTCTCAAAAACTCGCTCTTCAGATGACTGAGTCACAACAGGAGCATCCCTTTGATAGGGGCTGCTGAAGGGTGCTGGAGGCAGACGATACAGTGTAGAGCTGACCAGGGGCGCCAGAGCCAGACTCCACATCAAGTCCAGACCTCAGGGGCAGGCGACTTGGCCTCTCTGTGTCTGTTTCTTCGGCTCTTAAAAGGAGCTGATGATTGTGGCAATTAGTTGTTTATAAGCACCCTTTGGTGAAAATATTAATGTTGGGGGACACTGAGAGGTAGAGGGGTGGGAATTTTTAAGGAAGGCTTGTTTGAGAAAAATGTGAAATTTACACTTTTCTAGAAAAAGACATATAGACTTTAATCTTAGAAAACAGATTGTTACAATGACAATGAAAGCTGATACTGTGAGTCAAGCACTGTTTTCAAGTGCTTTTTAAACATATTATTAGATAGGCTTTTGTGCCTGTCTTACTATTGTCCTCAGTTTGTAGATAATAAAGAGGTCTTCCCTTGTTCAGGGGCATGAGATGTGTAAGAAGAGAAAACACAGTCCAAGGTTAGGGGGATAGTCGCTTAAATGGAGTCAGATGAACAGCTGAAGAAATTGTTAGAAGTGGGTGTAGCACAACTGATCAGTATTGAGTGCAGGGAAGCCCTCAGCCTGCCTGGCACAGTGAGGCCCCACAGTTCTCCTTGGGGCAGCAAAGGGCTATTGTTCTTGCTAGGGAGGCTGATCTTGAGAAAATGTATCTCCAAGTGGGGAAGGGAAACCTGCAGGATGTTACAGAAAGGGTGTTTCATGCTGCCTGGGTCAGCCATTTTAAAACAATCTAATTAAGTGGTGTGCATTTAATGAGATAAATGTATTTATAATTAGACATGCTTCTCATTTGAAATTTAACTAATTGACAGCCATTAATTCCAGGAGTTCAGCATCACAAGGCAAAATCCCTTCCTGTGGGCTCTGCATCCCCCAAAGGAGGTCATGTGTCACTGGAGCCTCAGTGCACCCTCCCCCTGGCCACCCAGCAGGGCTCTGGCTGTGGCTAGACTAGTGTGAAGAAGGCCGAGGCGCTGGCTGTCATGTGATTGTTTCATAAAGCCAAGTGTGAACGATGGTTGAGTTTATATTATTACAAAAAAATCGAGGGACTTCAATGCTTATTGTCTCCTTTATATATTTACCCAGTGACAGGAAAATGTAAGTTGCTGGGGAGATACCTTGATGCAGATGTAACTTTAATCCTCATTCCTAATAGAAACAATTCAATCTTGGATTCAGTCTTTCAAAGGCTTATCTGAGAGCTTGCCCAGACAGCTACGGCTGGGCTGCTCATTGCTGTCTGGCTCATGAGCAGCCCAGAAAGGGGAGAGAAACTGGGCACACCCAAGCCCCGAGCCCTGCCACACTCAAGCTGGCTGTTCAGGACGCTACCCTCTTCCTGCCTATGCCTGACACCAGCTCCCTGTGAGGTTTCCCAAAATGTGGGTCACCACCCGTCAAAGGGTGTGGATGGCACACTGGAGCGGAAGCGTGAGCGCGACATGTGTTTGGTGTAGTGTTTGAGGGTGTGGAGGGGCGGCCGGGTAGAGTGTGTCTTTCATGGGACAGGGGTAGGGACTTTACAAGCCTGTCCTTTCCACCACCTATTGAGAGTTCCAGGTCCATCTGTGTGACCTTACCTGAGGAATTGGTAGAAGTGGAAAGTAGCTTTTCTCCTCAAAGAAGACTTAAGATCATTGGCTTAATTTAACATAGGTTAAAAAGTCTGAAATCTCCAACTTTTTTTCCTCCAAAGTTTAAATTCTGTTTTTCAGAATGCAGTGGACTTTGATTGCAAAGCAATGAAAAAAATGATAAGGAGAAAATTCTCAGAAATTAAACAGCTATTTTTAAATAACCCACAGACCAACCATAGTCCACAAGAGGAGTTAGAAAATCGATTGAAGTAAATGATAATAAAGACACAGTGATGACAATGGATAGGATCAGGGACATAGTGTCTGAAGAGCACATCGTGTTAGGAGAATGTAATGCAGGAAAAGCGGCCCTTCAACATGCCTCATTTTCTCTCCCTGCTCACTTTCTCTCCCCGCCTCCCCGCCCCTGTCTCTCTTCACAATGCTCCTGGTTCTCTTGGCTTCTCACCTCACTTCTCTCCCAGTTTACCCCCCCCCCCCAGGTTTCTGTCTTCTCACCGTTTCCTGGGGTGTTTCTCTTCTTTTTCTCCTCCCCTCTTTCCCTCTTTCTTTTCCTAGATATTTTCCATGACTGATGTTCTCACCCCTCTCTGGATCTGGCTCCCCTCTGTCCAGCCTCCGCCTTTCCTCCTTTCCTCTCCCCTCCCTTCTCCCTGTTCCCCTCTTCTGCTCTGTCTCTGTCTGCCCTTCCCTGAAGTCACTGTCTCCCACCCCACCCCACCCGACCCCTTCCTGCACTGTTTGGCCTTTCCTGTTCACCTGCAAACACTTGTTAACCCTTAGCTCTGTCTCTTACTCCCATTTTCTCACTTTATATTTTAAATTGTGGTTAAAAAAAAAAAGCACACTATTATCTTAACCATCTACCTAGTTCAGTGGTGAGTCTATTCACATTACTTTGTAACCTCTTCCTCAGTTTGTAAAATTATACTCATCAAAACAGAGTTTCTACTCTAAAATTAGTAACTTCATCAATCCAGGACTCAAAAATTACCTTCAACTTTAAGACGCAATAAATTTTTAATAACGTAGGTCTTCTACTTTAACGGTGCATTATTTATGACATCTGGCCCTGAAGTAACAGCCCTGTTTCCACACACATCACGCTCATTACTTTCTATAGTTTATTATAATTTTTATATATTTTAATATCCTTCCCTGTTTGACTTTTTTCCCTCTTGTACCTTAGTTATTTCAAATATACAATACCATAAGTTTAAAATACATGCTAAAAAAGATTCTAGTTACTCTGACAGGGCTTTCCTTTGTGTTACTTTCCATACCAGACTCAGATACATAGCCTTTGTTAATATTAAAACTGACCTAACAGAATCGTCCCATGAGTTCCTGAAGTGACTGTGATACCCCACAGCAGCTGGCAGCTGGCATCACACAAGTAGGAAAAATTAAACTCTTAGCCAGGAAAGTTTCCCCCAAAGTACCAGTTCTAGTATCAGACTATCACTCATGTTTTGAGGGGGTTTTTTGTTTGTTTTTTGTATCTAAAGATGATTTCAGTCAGCTGCAAAAGTCTCAGAAGACAAGGCTCGTTTAATCTAGACTCTTTGCAGAGAGGCTTATTGAGTGTCGTTTCTGTCCCGTGCTAGCTTTGCACTCGGGAATACGCTCCAGACCAGGGACTTCCTCAGTGTTCCCGGGGAAGTACTTCTTATGGGATCTGATATCTGTTCTCAGTCTTAATCTAGCCATTTAATTAGTTTTATCTCGTACATGCCCGTACAAATGCCTTTCCTCCTCAATCTCACTGCATTCCTCAGATGGATTCCAACTTCTTGGGTCTAATTTATTAGCATTTCTGTGTCACCTCTCCTTTATTTAGTAACTTTTCCAGTTGGGATTTGTTTCAACATTTTGATGATTCCCTTAATGGTTTCTGACTCAGGACTGGCTGTGCATCGCTATAAACAAGATAATGTCATGTAAAACATTTTGTGTGATGCTTGAGATATTTGTGTTGATTTCTTGTGGTGATTGTTAGTATTATTACTGGCAAGATATTTTGGTATCAAGGTTATAAAATAGTATAATGAAGTTACCCAATGCAGTCATTTTGGGACATTTGACAAATACTTTAATGAAACGCTTACATTTTTGGGTTGATTGACACATTTGCCCTTCTTCCACCTTTAAGTAAGCTAAATGTTCATGGTTCATCAACCAGTTTTTAATCAGATTGTCAAGATATAACATGGGGCATTTTTTTTTCATAGAATTTTCGTGTAAAGCCATGTGAATAAAATATTCAGATTTACTGTTCATAATTAAGTTATCTTCTTGATCGAATTGATTCGGCCTGGTGTGTGTGTTTATGAAGAGAATTCTGAGCAGGCCATCTCGTTATGTATTTTGAATGAACTCATTGCACTTCTGTTTAGAGTCCTAAGTTTGGATTTCACCTTCAAGGCCTGTTGTGATGGATTCCTTTTTTTTTTTTTAATCCACTTTGAAAGATTATTCTGATTTCCAAGATATAGCATGTGCTGTGGTCATATAAGAGTGTGACTTTAGCCAGCCTTAGGGAGGTGGGAGCCGCCAGGCCTCTGGGAAGAACTTACAGGCACAGGGAGGGATTGTGTCTCTAGCAGCAGCTCCCCGCACCCAGAGCAGGAGGCTGCAGCCTGTGCCCGGCCTTCCCAGGCAGACTTTCCATTAGAGAGGCAAAACTTGAGCAGTCATTGCTAGGAATTTTCTCCTTGCCTCCATGAGGTGGGTGAAGGGGCCTTTCTAGGGAGCAAAGTCATCTGCTTCTTGTAAAGGCTGACACCATCTGTGACCTGCTCACCCCAGAGGACCTTTTCTTTGTGTCTGCTTGCCCTACAGGTGATCTTTACGGAGCCATTGGCTCTCCAGTGAGGCTGACTCGCACCGTGGTGGTGGGGAAGCAGAAGGATTTGGTCCAGCGCATACTTTATGTCCTGACCTACTTTCTCCGCTGTTCTGAGCTTCAAGAGAACCAACTGACCTGGTGTGGGAATTACAGCGAAGGTGAACAAATGCTAAATGGGAGCAAGATCACAACAGCCTTGGAGAGAGGAGAGGTGGAGGAGTCGGAGTATGTGGTGGTGACGGTGAGAAGCGAGCCTGCTCTTCTTCCCCCCATCCTGCCACCCACCACTGCTGAGGGAAGGAGCCCTGAGCCCGAGGGCTTGGCTGGGGCGCCAGAGGGCACGGACCTGAGAGACCTGTGTCCCCAACCTGACAGTGAAGGAAACAAGAGGCCAGCGCAGAGTCCTGAGGCCTGCAGCCTGGGGTTCCCAGAGCCAGCAATGGCCAGCTCTTGGAAACCTCAGGGGCCACTCTGTGAGGGTGAAGACTGTAAAGGAGAGCCCCCTCAGGATGGCTCTTCAGGGCTCTCCAACTGTGAAGTTCTGGGGGTGGGACTGAAGATCGGGGGACAGACTGTCAATGAGGACTTGAAAGGGTGGAAAGGGGAGGTGCCTAGAAAATTACCAGAGCGGTCAGCGGCCTGGCCTTGCCCTGACAGACATTCCCAGGAGAAGGCTCCCTTAGAAAAGGTCACTTTCCAAATTGGAAGCTCCTTATCTCCAGAGTCGGACCTGGAAAGTCGCACTAAAAAAATGGAAGAGCGGCTGAAGGACTGTGGACAGTGCCCAGGTGCGGCCAGTCCCTTGGCTGAACGCAGGGTGGCTGCTGAGGTCATTCGGGACCAGCAGGTGCCTGGGTGCCCCTTTGCCCCAGGGTTCGGGAAGAATGTCTGCTGCCCCCAGGGTCTGCCTTCAGAGGGCGAGGACGCTGAATTTGACAGGGGTTTTGCCAAGGACAGAGGCATCAGACCCGAGGTTGCGACGATGGCGGCGGGGCAGCCGAGTCCACCTGCATCTGCTGAAGACCGCGCGGCAGGAGCAAGGTGGTGCGCGCTGGCGGCCACCGGAGGTTTGTGCCTGAAGGATGCAGGAGGACCTTTGACGGCACCTGTGCCAAGTAGGGGTGCCCAGCAGGACTCCGGCTTCTCAGTGGCCGCACATGTCCCCTGTGGGGACACCGACCGCAGAGCCGCCCGCAGGGCAGCAGGAGACATCCCCAGAAATGAGAGCGCGGACAGCGCTCTTGGCGATAGTGACGACGAGGCCTGCGTCTTGGCCACGCTACCCGCGGGCCCCGGAGACCCCGCGGCAGGGGCGGCGGAAGTGGAGCTCCCTCTGCCCAGGTACGAGGGGACTGGGCCGTGCCTCGCTACCAGCCCTGTGACCGCGTCAGGAACTGCCGGCACATTTGCCCGCAACTTCCGTGGGCTTTTTTGGCCCCGAATCCTGGCCGTGCCCTCAGGGCCTGGCCAATGGTGTCCAGCCTGGCCTCTCCCCGCGGCGTGGCTGCGCGTCTGGGCCAGGAGATAGGCCAGGGTGTGGCGGGCTGTCGCCGCTGGGGCGGTGGGACAGGGAGTTTGCCCCTCTGGAGTCTGTATGGGCCTGTAAGCTGGCCGCAGATGCCTCCCGGGAGGCGGCAGATGAAGCTGCCGATTAAGTTGGGGCAGGAAGACACCCCGCCCCCGGAGCTCTGTCAGGCTGATTATTTGGTCGGTGATTGGAGCAGTAATTGGAGGTCTCGCCTGGCCTTCCCACCGCGGTGGGCCCTGGCCTGTGTAGGTGTGCTGTGTTCCTAGAGCCAGACTTTTCGCTCGATGCCCCCACCTAGCAGACCCGTGGGGCTGGGGCACAGGCTGCCTGGTGGGGCTGCTAGCTGGGGAACAAGAACTATCTCATCACCCGCCGCTGCCGCCATAATACTGCTGCTGGTTTTTCCTTACCCCTCTTTAAAATAAAATTCCTTTTCTCTTCCAAACCTCTTTCCTCCCCTTACCTTAGGGTGGGTGAATGGAACCACCCTGAGTCTGTTTCTTTGGAGTCTGTTCTGTCCCCCTGACAATTCTAATGGGCCAATATTGTTTTAGCTCTCAGAGCATCAGCAACCCAAACGTGAGAAACTTCGGCCGCTCACTCCTGGCGGGTTACTGTCCCACCTACATGCCTGACCTGGTGCTTCATGGGACCAGCAGCGACGAGAAGCTGAAGCAGTGCCTGGCGGCTGACCTGGTCCACACCGTGCATGTAAGTGAGCCCAGCTCGGGGCAAGGGTCCTGGGAGCCACAGGTGTCCCTCCTGAAGAGAAGATAATGAAGGCCCTGTGTGTAGTGCTTCAGGGGGTTCCCAGCAGCACCCAGGGGTTAACAGCAGCTGGGAGCTGTGGCTCACCGAGGCCTGGAGGAGGCCTTGCTGGGAGCAGTGGCACCCAAGCTGTGGAGAGCTGGATCTGGAAAGGTGCTGCCTGCTGCAAGAGCAGTGAGAAGGGTGGGGGATGGTGCCCCACCTCTCCCCAGCCCCGGGCTCTTCTGGGGCCTCCAGTGACTGGCCCAGCAGGAGGCCAGAGGGCAAGGTCACCTTGCTGATGCTGATACAGCCCTGGGGCCCACAGGGGTCAACCTCCTGGGGCCCTAAGGGACAGCGAAAGGCAGAGTGGAGAGTGGAGCTGGGCTGGGGGAGGGGCAGCTGGGCTGGGCAGACAGAGTAAACAGCCCAGATGGGGACAGTTATATGAGGTCTCGGGGAGGACCTCAGAGATGTCACATACGGTTTGCTTTTCATCCGAACCTTACTAGTCCCAAAAAGTAATTTATTTAACCTGATCGGTCATTAAGTTCACTTTGATGGCTGTGTAAGGAAGACCGAATAAAGACTGACAAGTCTTATGGGAAGTTGCTTGTGGCTGCCGTTCAAGTGCCTGTCTGCTATCTGCAGCGCGACAGGAACTGAACAGTTACGGAAGTGGTGTCAGTCAGTCTGATGGGCCTGTTTTTAATTGAGCTGCTATTGGGCAGATGTACAAAAATAGATGTTCTGCACTGGAAGCACATTGTATCTTGTGCAACAGGGAAGGTCCTCGTCACGTGAAGAAAATTGGAATTTGGCTTGTGCCCGACCTCCTCACCCAACAAGTATTTTTCGAGAGGTGGAATAGAAGGCTGTGATGTTATCTTTGGCCTTGAGCATCTCCTCTGCAAAGACTAAACATACCTTAGACACAGGCTAAACAGGCTGGAGAGCTTTGTGAGAAAGGGAGAGAAAGGAGTGGAACAGATGTCCAGATAGGCCCCAGGAGGAGGAGGGCAGAGAGACGAGGCACGGTCATCACCCCAGAGTGGACCCAGAGCCCCTGACCCACTCCTCACACCCCCTGCTCGGTGATGGGCGCCAACCCGGTACCGGGTCGTTCCCGGAGTGAAACGACAAGGATGCTTTTGTCTCTGGAAGGAATGGCGTGATGTTTGACTTGCAGGGCTGCAGTGAACATGGTATACCTTTTTAGGACTTCAGAACTGACACACGAGTGACCTTAGGATAAGAACAACGCCCCACAGTGCCCTCGTTGTGCCATGTTGCCTTTTAGGTGGTCTTAAGCTGCGCATAGTCCTCAGGTTTTAGACTTGCGTGTCCCTCGTGGCCGTCTGTAGCCCTAGCCAGGGGCTGTGAGGCCCTCTTTCCCTTCTCCAGCAGCGCCAATGTATCCAGATGCCTTAAACCTGTGCTCTGCTGCTCTGCTGGCAGCTTGAGTCGGAAGCCAGGTGTTGCTCCTTGGCCCTTGCTCCCAAGGCGCTTGCTCTTCTGTTTCTGACGGAGGTGCCAAGAGCCTGCATGTGAACTAATGGGGTGACATGCGTCTCACCAGCTGGGGGTGGTGAGCTCCCCCAGAGTCCCTCAGTAACCACTGTAAAAGTGTAATCCACGAGCAGGAACCCTCCTTGAACATAGCCGCAAAACCACTCATGACATTTCTTAATATTTTCAATAGGCTGACAAGTTCCAATTTTTATATACTAGGCTTTCGTGGTGACCATCTAGCTCAATAATTCTTACCATTTGAAAAAAAAGAAAGCCATGCTTCCTCTATTTGCACTCCGAAAGATTTTTCATGTATCATTTTTCCTTCCTTCCAGAAGTAATGTTTTCACACTGTAGTTTTTCTCATTTCTTCAGGCTAGGTAATCACCGCAAGATCGAAAGTCATTCAACATAATAACCTATATTGTGTCAAATTGTGGGTACATCCAAAGTGCAGCCATGCATGGGTGTCAAAAGGAAATTACTCCGGTTCATAAAAATATCTTCAGAAGCTTAATACATTCAGAATGTATCCAATTAGCATTAGTGGATTTCTAACTTCACTTGACACATTCATCATCATGAATTTTGCTTTTGAAGTCGTGTTCCATTTAAACTGTGTCTCAGACTGGGGCTCCACTCTGGTCTGTGGCAGTGTTTAAACAAAAATAGCCTGACTTTCAACTGCCATTTACAAATATTTGCTGAAAAATAAATGAGGAGGGTTTTTTTTTTTTTAACATTATATTACATTTACTGCGCCACAAGGCTTGTAATTATTTAAATTCTTGAGTATCTTGCCAGAGAAGGAAGCAGAGATCCAAGTACCAGACATGACCAGACTTAGAGCTAGAACAGTGGCTTCTTGAGGAAGAAAAGTTTGGGATAAATTGTCTTTTCATAACTTGCTCTTAGAATCTCAAAAATCTCTTTCGTGGATGTCCTGATGCTCAGGGCTCATGCCTGACTTTGTTGTGCTTTGACATTCATAATTGTTTTTAGAGAAGCATACTTAGTAACTGTTTAAAGCAATTGATCTAAGTTATTGATCTGTTTTCCAGCTCTGTGCATGATTGGATTGTAAAATCTGTCTTATGTAAATGTGAGCTTTTATAGCCTTGGTGAACTGGCTTGTGGAGTTTCTTTTCTCGCTGAGGGTTTATATTCTAACATCCAGCAGTTAAGACTGTACTTTTCCTTATTCTGTCTCTTGTGGAAAAAAAAAAGATGTATTAACTTCATTTATTTTTATTTTTGTTACTGACTTTCACATGCTAAAATTCTGAAGGTCTTTAAATATTTAAACACATGTTCTTATTTAATCCATGTACCACCTCTTTTCTGCCATGTGAACTGTTTCTCTGGCCTCCTAGCATATAGATTATACAGCTGCCTTAAATTAGGCTAGAGAAATACTCAGTTTCATTTTTTTCCTTGCCACATCTAAAAGTGCATTCTTTCCTCTGTTTCTCTTTCGACTGTAAGTGGTAAAATGCAGAGAGAGAGCAAGAGCGAGAGAGAGACATTTTCTCTGTCCCCATGATCCTCAGGTAACTTTCTCTCTCTTCTTTTTCTGAGTTGAATGAAGGTCGTCTGCCCACGAATCCTGCTGACGGGGCATCGTCAGGTATTGAAGGTGGGCAGCGGCGGTGATGCGGAGGCGCTGACAGCACTGATGGCTGGGTTCAAGTCTTGCTGGTACCACTCATTTGCTGATAGGCTTAAGTAAATCAGTCAGCATCACTAAACCTGAGAGAAATATGTTTACAGGGACAGATGAGGCACAATCCCGTGGTTAAAGGTTTGGCTTCTAAAGACACACAAACCTCTGTTTGCCTTGTGGCCCATCCTTAAGTGGCTTTGTAGTCCTGGGGAAGTTTCTTTAGTTTTTTTGTTTTTGTTTTTTTAAGATTTATTTATTCATTTATGCATACAGAGCTGGGGTTCAGGCCAGAAGTGCAAGGGCGGTGAGAGGATTCACCAGAGACAGAGTGGGGAGCAGAACAGGCAGATCGAGGAAGTACACTGCTGAGGGGAGCGCAGGCAGGTCAGGGGAGGTCTGCCACGCCATGTGATCACCTCCCGGGTGGGCGGGGATTGAACTCATGCTAAAGTGGCTTGAGCTTCTTAGTGCTATGCTTTAACCCACTGCGCCATCAGGGAGGGCCCTCTTTAGTTTTTTTAATCATCTGTTTCTTCTGTAACCTGAATAGTACTTACAGATCTGGTTTGAGGACGCCAAGGTAATGCACGTCACGTCGTTAGCACAGTGTGGGGCATATCACCCCATGGCCCACAAATGTGAGCTATGCAGATAATGTACATGAACGTGCCTCAAAAACAAGTTTCCCCCAAAATGCCCATTGGCAGTGAGGGAACGGCACCCACACAGGCATTCATTCAGCACTAACGGAACCCACATTCCCTCTGCCTGCAACGTCACAAGAGAAGGCCAGGTGTTTCTAACTGTAGGTAGAGCCATCAAGACCAAAATTAAAACTGGCATCACACTTTAACTTATTTTTAAGAAACTATGTTCCAGGGCTTCAGACATTTACTTGAATGATCTATAAAATAAAGCAACAGTTGGATATAGCAGCCTTTTTCATTTAATTTTAAGGGTAACAACAGATTGACTCCAGAATTATCATGCAGAACTCAGCAGCACAGCTAAGGAGCTTCGCGAGCGCTGGGCTCTGACGCACACCCGTGAGTAGCTCATTGAGCCACGTGGTGTTGGATCCACCAGAAAGACTACAAAAGAACAGCAAGTCACATCAGATGACAAGTCATTGCTTAGGGAGACATCTATGGAGGACAGCCCTGCTGTTTATCAACCCTCTGTTGCTTTTATTTCCCTGTGTTGGGGGGGGTAGGAAGTTGGACACACACATGTATTCCTGGGCACGTGTGTCTACACGTAGAAGCGTACACACTGGGGTAGGATGTTAAAATGTATTTCTTAATGTGGATGGTGGTTAAAAAAAAAAAGACAAAAATAATGCTCTCTGTTCTGAAGATTCTCCCTCCTTTCTTACTGTGACTATACCCTTACTTCAGTCCCCCTCCGCCTTTTTACCCCTCATCAGACACATGTAAGGTTTTATTAGTCTCTCAGGAAAGCTGCACCGTCGCCACAGTGCAGATAAAGTCCCCGCGGCATCTGCCTCCTGCTGCCGGCTCTCCCGCTCGCCCTGCCGCCCGCCCTGGCCTCGGCCATCCCTGACTTTCTTCCTTCTACTCTTGCGCTCCCTGTTTCCTGAGTCCCTCAGGCAGGCGGTGGCCTGCCAGGCTGTGTTTGGGTTCGTTCTTCTTTGCATGATCCCGGGAGCCGCGAGGCCGGCCAAGGCTGCCGTCCTGCCTCCTCCACAGTGGGCCCTGCCTCCCAACGCAAAGGGACATCAGGGTTTGCCCTGGCCGTTTCCGCATCTGCCCCAGCTTCTCTCTTGGGG